GTCACGTCCTCTTTGTCGGTGCTTTCGAAGATGAGACTCACCACTCCGTCTCCTTTCTTGGTCCACGATCCATAGCTGCCTACAAACGCTTCGTCCACTGTCCACATCCCCAACGCGTCGTACAGATTACCATCGTCAATTTCACCGATGAAAGACGTGGGTACGCAAATGGGCTGAACGAACTGGGACACCATCCAAAAAATACCAGTCGGGTCCAGGCCGCCCAGAACAGCAAGCCCCATGTTGGCCACTTCCTTCATGTACTCGTTTTCCGCCACATCCTTACCCATATCCGTCTTGGATTTCTCGACAAGCTGGTCGATGATGACCCCCATGGTCTTCCGTAGTAAATCTCGAGTCTCAAAGGCGGCTTGTTTTGTCTTGTTGGCCATCATCTCCTTCATGCAGTTATTTGTCACTCGTGGGATATCGTGTTGCACGAGTGTCGACCTGCTGATCGTCACGCGAATATCATCCACAGCGGCGTTCGGTGTCTTGTTTCTAACGTCGCTGACTCTGAAGATCACTCGGTCGGTGAGTTTCTTCAACTCATAACCGCAGGAAGTGTTAGCCGCGATAAAGTCCTCCAACTCCGTCACGCTGTTTGCCGTGCTATTAACGGACGTGGCATTCTTGAGCAGGTTAATAACATTGGTTGCAGACGAGATAATCATATCACCGTTGATAATAGTCTGCTTGACGATGAATTGAACGACCTGCAGCACATAGCCCGACCACACCATTCTCGGCGGAGGAGCCTTGCCCAGACACGCGTAAATGGCAACTGGCAAGTCGATCAGCACCACGTTGCTTTGATACGCCACGGCCAGCAACTGCTCGGTGTCTCCTTGCGGCGCAGTGTTTTGCACAAACCGGAAGTAATAAATGAGCGACTTGATTACCGAAATGACGGTCGCTGCGCACATGTAGATGCGCGTGGCCCCCGTGTACACCGTTTTGAGGTTACCCAACACACCGGCAGTCGCTGCATTGAACGCGACATTAGCCACCGCCGCAATTTTTGTGAGAACTGCCAAGGCGCAGTCGTCATTTTGAGGAATACATTCCAGAAAACACTCCACGGGATACGACATCGGACATTGCACGATACAGTCGTCGTCGTCCCTGCCGTAGCCCAGAGGACAGACATTCTTGCTGTCCATCGGTTGGGTTTTTCGATAGCACGCGTTATCCTTCGGAACACCGATAGTAGGGCCCACCCAGTTGCGGATAATGTCTCCGTGCCAAGCCGTGTCCATGGTATCTGTCAACAACAACGGCTTGGCTTCAATTCTCGTCCAGATAGCACCTAGTTGATACACTTCGTCTTCCGAACGACCGAACAAACCGCTAAGCTGGAAACCCTTGGGGGCAACTGCAGTGGCGCTTTGTTGTGTCTTAGTTCCTACAGACACATTCTTCCCCTCACTTGTGCCGAAGTTGACGTAGCACACTTGCGTCCGTCCGTCGTTCTTGCACCAATGAACTTCCATCGAGTTGACGTACTCACCCGCTTCAAAAACGAGCGTGCTGTCTTTTCCACCAGGTCCGCCGTGGTTGTATATCAAGCCTTGAGGTTCCAGTACTTGAATGGTTACAGCATCAAGACGCTCTTCGCCCCGAAGCGTAATGGAAGCCAGCGACTGGCCCAGAGTAAGCTTAGGGATATCCGAGAACGCGTTGCCGTGCGGACCACCGTAAGGTTCACTGAGAGCGATGTCTTCGTCAGCTGAAACAGGACCAGCAACTGTCTCGTTGACTGCAGCAATGCTAGCCCATACAGCGCCGATGAGGTCGATTTCATCACCAAATCGACCAAAGAACCCAGCGAGCTGGAAGCCTTCGGGAGCTTCTGCTGACCCCTTGATTTCAGTCTGAGTTCCACCCGAGATCGACCTCCCGTTGCTCGTTTTCAAACTGAGATAGAAGACGCGCGTAGCTCCTCGCTTTTTACCCAAATGAGCCTCGAACGATGTAATATACTCCCCAGCTTCTAGTACAAGAGTGTCCTCCTTGCCACCACGTCCTCCATGCGTGAATGTCATCTTCTTGGGAGCCGATACTTCCACTGTCATCCCATCCAAGCGCTCACCAGCTCGTAGCGTGACTGATGTGATCGTCATACCTGAACTCACAGCGAGTTGGTCGGAGAACTGTTTGCCATGAGGACCTCCAAAAGACTCGCTCAGTTGTACTGGCTGCGTATTTTTCGGGATCAATATCGTCATATTTCCTGATCCTGAGCTCTCCATTGACCCTCCACTCGGGGCTGCTGGTGTCAGGGCTGGAGCAGACGTTGGAGGAGGCTTAACGAGCTCAATATAAGCCCAAATCGCTCCAAGGGAATCGATCTCCTTCCCCTCACTACCAAAGAACCCAGCGAGCTGGAAACCCTTAGGAGCAGTGACCGTAGTCTTCTGCTCTGTCGTGGATCCCCCAGCAAGTGAATTGCCCAAGTTT